CTTTGGGCTTGCTTAATCATCCGCTTCGCGTTTTTGTCATAACTAATTCCACGAAACCTGCCACCAAAAGCGGTAACAGTTCCATTTTGTAAGGCCCGCAAGCATTTTTTTGCTGCCCCAACATTTTCCACTTCCAAGACTTTACCTTGCCAGCCCTGCCGAAAAAAAGTTTGTTTTCAACCATTAGATTTTAGTCCCAAATTTTCACTTGGTTCGGTTAGATGCCAACGATAATTAGCCCATCAACCTTTATCAGGAGTTTGATATGTTCAGGAAAAATTCATGAGAAGTGCTACTTTTGTGGATTGTGTCGTGTTTCTTTGTTATCTCAATTTTTTATAATCCAGCCACCAATTACATCAATTTAATTTTATACATTTTTTTAGTCTCAAACCCTCATTTTTTTATCTGCCTAATCATTAAAAATGGGCGAAAAATTTTCTCGCTTAATTTTTAGAATTCTAATTTGTTATTAAATCTCGGAAAAGCCAAAGTATCCCGAATATTTTCGGTGCCACTAATAAACATTATTAACCTTTCTAAACCGAGGCCAAAACCGCCACTTGGAGCATAACCGTATTTTCTTAAATTAAAATATCAGGCTAAATTAGCAGTATCCAGGCCAATTTTTCGGGCTTTTTCTATTAAAACTTGATAATTATCCTCCCGCGTGCTTCCTCCAATTAATTCCCCAATTTCCGGAAACAATAAATCAAAACAAGCCACAATTTTTTTTTTGTTCTCCGACAAAACTTCATTTTTGGCCTCTGATAAGGCTCCGTCTTTCATATAAAAAGCCTTTATTTCTTTGGGAAAATTGAGAACAAAAACCGGAGCATTATTAAAATATTGACATAAATATTTTTCGTGTTCAGACTGTAAATCCATACCTCATTTAATATCATTAAAAATAAAATTTGCCCTTTTTTCTTTTAAAATTTCAAGAGCCCTAACATAATCCATCCTTTCAAACTTTTTATCAACAATTTTTTTTAATTTATTAATTATCTCTTTTTTATTTTCCTGGTCATAATTTTCTAAGTATTCTAATTCGGTGCTATTATTGTCAAGAACATAATTTATTACATATTTTATCATTTTTTCGGCTAAATTGATTATTATTTCTAAATCAGCGAAAGCCATTTCGGCTTCAACCATTCAAAATTCGGCTAAGTGACGAGTAGTGTGGGATTTTTCAGCCCGAAAACAGGGTCCAAAAGTATAAACTTTACCTAATCCTTGGGCTAAGGCTTCGGCATGGAGTTGTCCGCTGACAGTCAGGCTGGCAGGTT